CTCAAGTGATCCTCGTGCCTCTGTCTCCCACAGTGCTAACATGACAGGCGTGAGCCACCACACTGGCCTAAACATGAATTTTTATAGCAGCTTCATTCATGATTGCTAAAACCTGGAAACAACACATATGCCCCTCAATAGATGAACAGATAAACTGTGGTATATCCATACAATGGAAAACTACACAACAAGAAAAAAGGAATGACCTATTGATACACACAACAACTTAGGTGCATCTCAAAAGAATAACGTTGAGTGAAGGAAGCCAGTCTCAAAAGATTACAACTGTATGACTCCACTTATATGACATTCTTGAAAATATGAAACCATAGTGGTAAAGAACAGATCAGTGGTGACCACAAGTTAGCCAGGGGGGTATGAGGTGTTATTACAAAGAGGGAGCAGAAGGGAATTTTTGTTGGGTGATAGAACTGTTCTGTACCCTGACCGAAATTATGGGTACATTAATCTACACATGTGTTAAAATTCATAGAACTATGCAACAAAATGGGGAAAAAGGTCAATTTTACTGTATGATAATTTAAAAAATATTTTTAAAAAGCATATAAATTGTTTCTCTATTTCTCTTCTACAAAGATGTAAGAAAGACATCCAATATGAGGCTATTTTTGCATAGGGGTCCAAAAAATGGGGACAAGCTTCACAAGACAATCTTGGGACATCAAATAGCCCTGTGTATTTTTATTTTTTTACTACAAAATGCAACTTTGTACAACATGAAATTCCCATCCCCCCAAAAAAAATTATTAGAAAAACCATACAACATACCAGGAAATTCAATGTGAGTGAAATCACCTATCGACATGAAACACGTTCCAGGGAAGGAGGTGGGGTGCAGCCACACACAGCGCTGTCTGGGGGCTGCCCTGCAGGGAGGGGCCATAAGGGAGGGGGCGATCTGAGGACAGCTCAAGGCATGGGGTCAGCAGCCTGGGGGCCAACTCTGTTTCCACCACTGCCCTCTCCGTGCCTCAGTTTCCTCACCTGAGATTCTACTAGTAACTACTTCCTAGGGTTGCTGTGTTCCTAATGCATTAATACATGCAAAATGCAGGCTGGCCTCTGCTAAATGCTTGAGACATGTTAGCCATTGTTGTTCTCTGTGCATGTGTGCACGTAGTGATGACAAGCATACGAGACACGCAGGCCGGGAATAAGTCACGAGAGCACAATGTCTAAAGTTGCTAACAATTGTGCTAAAGTGCTGGGAATTGTGGATCATGTCTTCTTCTTTTGTAGGGTCCTTATAATGCTACCCTATTCCTTTTTGGGAAAAAAGGGGAAAAACTCAGCCATGTCCATAAATGTTCCGTACTTTGGACTAGGCCCTTCTCTTTGGAGGAGGCTCAGTGATTTTATAACAGCTGTGTGATGCGGCCAGTACAATTTCCTGTCTCTGTGGTTAGTACTCGTGCTGGTGGAAGACTTAAGAGCTGCCACATGGAAAAGAACAGGAGTAAGACTGGGCCTGGGGCCATGCGCAGAACTATAAAAGAGCGAAGGGGACCATTCTCCTGTTTAGGTCACTTAGACCTTCTCTGGGAAGAACAGAACAAGGAAACAAATGCAAAGCAAAAATTCCTTCCCCTCCATCACACACAGGCAAAAAGTGCCGATGGGGTCAGCAGGACATAGGAAAGGAGGTTCCAGGATGTGCTGATCCTAACTTGGGTCTCATGTTTTTGTTTGCCTGTTTCAACTACCTTCCCACATTTTAAATAAGGGATGTTTATACAGATTTACCTGTCTCTTGGGATGAAGAGACTGGTGTTTTTCTAAGTTGATTTCCCTCATGAAGTCCCACAGTCATCATTCCCGTTGTCACAGTTCATGTAACTCTATCAGTCACCTGGGACCTGTGGCTATTAAGTTCATTAGTTACCGGAGCTCGCGGCACTTCCCTCTGAGGTCCTGTTTCTGCCTGGTTTCTCTGTGCTGTGGGGATTCAGGGCAGGGGGTGCTGCCCCCTGTAGGGGCACTGCTGAAGGCAGGCATGCTGGCCCGCCAGTTCCCAACACATCTTCCGATGGGCTCACGATAAAGAGAAAGATGGACAGGGTAAGTTCACCCTCAGCGAGCAACTGGAGAACAGAGCCATGCAGCCTCCTATGGGAACTGAAACAGACACTGCATCCAGCGATTTCATACTGAATGAGCCAAAAGAGGGGACTTCAAAAACAAGAGGCTACCCCGACAGCACACAGGGCCCAGACACCTTTCAGAACGAACCAGGCCCCGTCCTGCTCTGGCTTCACCCCACTCTAAGATTGCAGATGACCTGGTAGGGCGAGGGGACGCATGCTTCTCTCTATACTTTCTTCCTCGAGGCCTGAGGCCTCTCAGCTCATCAGGGCAGTCAACACTGCGACCACGACACCTGATTGCAGGCTCTACCTCAAAACTGCCAACGTTCCTCAGGTGACTGAAATGGGGAAATTCTGGCCACCACCGGCATGGTCACCATGAGGTCCTCCAACTGTGCGTTGGCACCTCCTGCCCCAGCCTAGTTACCTCCTGCTCATCCTGCCAGTGCACCCCTGCTGGGCGCTCTGCCCAGCCTGTGTGGCATTTGGACCCCTGTGCTCTCTGTGCCCACAGCACCCCCACTTCTCCCCTTCACTGTGAATGACTGACCACCTGTCTCCTGTTCGCCCTCACCCACCAGCAGTGCCAGTTCCACGGCGCAGGAACCACACCTATCATGTTCCCTTCGGCATCCCCAGAGCTCAGCACCCTGCCTGGAGCCAGCACTTGTTCATAGGATGAACCGGTGAACTTAATAAACCTTAAGAATCTGTGAGCAAGTCCCACAGCATGCCTTCACTTTGGGAAGGTGACCGGGCTGACCCCAGGCCACGGTAAACCCAGGTTCGTAGGTACAGGGGAGTGTGCAGGACTCCACTACACTGGTCACACACAAGGACACTTCCCCCCAGTGGCTTGTCTGCAGAGCCAGGGGAAGTGGGTTTAGCGTCTGCAAGAACTAATATAATGGCCTTCCCATCGTCTGTGCACTAGTACGTGGCCATGAGGGGCATGAAGTGCAGGACTGGGAGCCTGGCCCACCTGACTCCAGAGCTAGTGAGACCTTGGCCATGGGATTGTGTGCCCAGCTGCTTCCCCTCGCTGTAAAGCAGAAATAATAATACTCTCAAGCAGGCCTGCCGTGAGAATACATACCACATTTCAGCCCCTGTGTGCACAGTGGGTATTGAACAAAGGTCCGTGTCCTCTCTTCCCTTTTTCATTTTCAAGGTTAGACAATTTGGTTGTCCAGGCTCTGTCACATAAGCCCTGAGAACTGTTCAGAGGCAATGCAAGTAGATTATTACCTTTGGTCCTGTCTCCAATCGGGAATACAGTAAATAGGTGTGCAGGTCCCCATATTTCATGAAGGGTAAAATCACCATGGGCTTTGGGATGCCTTGAGAGCTCATTTCTATACATACGCCTGAAATCAAAAACATAGAACCAGTCACAAAGAGCCCTTGTTATGTGTGAGCAGGAAAGCACAGGAGGCCCACCGGCCAAATTGAAACCATGTGCCACCAAGTTAACAGTTTAAAAAAGCAAGAGCTCCTAACTCGCATACTGTGTTGTAGAAAATGGAACACGTTCAGGGTCCACTACCTTTTTTCCCCTTCTTTCAAATTAGTGCCAGTCTTTGCCTGAGGGTTCTCAAAAATCAATTTGTAACAAATATAGCCATCTAGAAACCTAGGAGTTTTTGTTAGACTAAGTCTAACTGAGGGGTAGAGAACCCATTAGGATTCAAGGGCAAACTAGTTTCATGTAATCTATTCATATGAAGAAGTCCACTATAACCAAATGCTTAAAAGTATTAAAATAATTTTGAGGGCCTATACGTAAAGTCTACATCCCTAAATTTTAACAGTTACACAAAGGAAAAGCCACGCTACCATTTATCACGGAATTCAAGAGCTACAGCTGGTCACCTGATCCCAGGCTTGCAAAGCACTTGCCCTTTGTGGTGTGATTACAAAGCACCATTGTTCTCAGAGTCCGCTAAAGCTAATAGCTGCGAAAGAATAACAGTAGTTTCTTTGACATAATATTCTATCCAAACGTTAGTTTTTTACATCTCTCTGCAGTGTCAATCATTTAAAACTTTGAAAGACCCCAAAAGAATTTAACATGTATCAAATTCACAGCACAGCAAAAAAAAAAAAGGTCAGCAGAAAATTCAATTATTTCCAGGTTGCTCTTCTCTCTTGGGATTGTGTCACTTATAAGCATCCATTCAATACCTAATCTCCTCTTTTATATTTTTTAGCCAACAAAGCCGCAAATACAAATTATGTTAAACACGTTCTATGGAACCGCTGAATCACATTTCATGAAGTTATCCAAGTACCATGACCATAAGAAATCAGAACTTTCAAATAGGTTAACAAATTATTTCTCAAAGATGATCTATGGAATCTGCCTACTTTTCTAGCTTTACCCCAGTGGTCTTTTATTCCTGGATAACTTTAAATCAATAAAAATTATAATATGACCAGCTCTTGTGTCTTGCCTTTGAGTAGCTGAGGGCTATTTCATTCACGCTCTCCTGGAATTCTGTGGACACTTTAATCATTCCTGAGCTCTTTGGTGTTCAGAAAACGCAAAGCCATTTTATCTTTACTATCAGCCTCAGAAAAATGTAATCATAAGACGTCATCTGGGTGAAAAACTCAACTGTTATAAAATACTTCGGGTTTATACAAAGTATAAACTTATCTACACCAGAGATTTTTTTCCTTTGGCACAGAGTAGATCCGCCGAGCCCCCTTGGCCCCCCACTCCTGCATTTCTGAGGTACCTAGAAGTCGGATGACATTTGGGTGGCTGAAGTCTTTCATACACGCTGCCTCACTGAGAAACTCCTCGATCTCCCGCTGTGAAAAGTTGTCCACTGAAGAAAAAAATGGAAAATGTTAGGCACGAATACTTTACTCAGTTGAGGGGAGTGGGGCAGGCAATAGCAATTTTTTGTTCTTTAAAACTAAAGTCAGGAAAAGACAAAACTCTAGAAACAAGAAACAGATGAATGGTTGTTAGGGGAAAGTGAGAGTTGGGAGAGAGAAGAGAGGAACAAATACTAGAAGCACGGGGATTTTTAGGACTGTGAAACTATTCTGTACATGCTGTACTGCAGTGGTGGGTCCATGACCTCGCACAGTGGTCAGAACCACAGAACTGCACAACACCAAGTGGTAACTGGTACAGAGGTGCAGTTTTGCAAGATGAAAAGTTCTGGAGATGATCACGGTGATGGTTGTACAACATTATGAACATACATAATACCACTGAACTGTATACTTAAAATGGTTAAGATGATCAATTTTATGTGTATTTTACTATAACTAAAAACAAACAAACAAAATAGAAAGCAGGCTGGCTTTAGGGAATTTGTTTTAACAGGGTATAACTAGTGATTGAAATCACACATTAGAATACCTAGCACAGTGTCTGTACCATACTATGGGCTTAATATATATTAAATATTATTCTTCCTATTAAAGCAAATTTAGAAAAATTTTTAAAAATCTATATACCTGCAAAACATCTGCCACCTATTCCCTTTGCTGACTGCAAACAACCAGGTCTGGCTAGGGGGGGACAGAGGGGCAGGAATCTGCCTGCAAACCCTTCCCTGAGGGACCAACCTCTAGGCAAATGTAGATGAGCTTGAGGATTTGGGGGCCAGAGACTATTCTTTCAATCTTTGACAATTAGCTTGGATGTAATTCCTATGCAAGCTACTCTATTTAAGTTAAAGGATAGCAGAGCCAGGCCAGAGAAGCAGCGGCGCTGCTTAGACTCAGCTCCTTCCATCAGGCCTCCCAAACCCTGCTGCCTTACATCCCTAAATGTGGATAATGGAAGGACACCCCTCCCCCGCCAGGCACAGTGTGAGGGCCTCATATACAATAACTCAAGGGGCAGGAACTGTGAAGAGTGCGGCTCTGTACTGGGTTCAGCCCCAGCAAGTACTCTAACTTCAGGGTGTCTTAGTTTCTGGGGGCTAGTTCTTGAACCTCCTTCCTAGTTATGCTGACTTTCTGTTCCTATTGTACAGATGGATGCAGGAACGGTGGCAATGTTCCTTGGCTCACAGGGAGCATCACACAAGTATTAGCCATTATGATACATTTAAAAAGCAAAAAGTACTGGCCCATGTGACTTGGTTATTATGGTTCCTTTTTATAACTGAATTGAACTTTAGCCTCCAATTTTGCTTTAAGACTCTCAATGTATGCTTATAATCTAACTTATATTTTACTGTCCAGTAAATGATAAATTTAAATCTTAGGAAGAAACCAACTTTACTTTATTCCTTGATCAGAAGTAGTATTTAACAGGTAATAAGAAAGCAAGATCAAGAATATTGACAAACTGATCACCAAACAATCTCCATCCATAAGACTCATGATGAAGACTGCAGGTGTGATGTCATATGGTCGTGGTCTATTTCCTGGGTGCCCTGGTGATGGGCCATGACCAGCCAGACCCCTGCAGAGTTGAACTTAGACAGTCGTGGGGCCCCAACTCCAGAAATGCACTTCCTGGAAGGAGATGGAGGGAAATGATACCTTGTTCTGCCACTGAAGCCTGGTCATCTTATGGTAATGAAAAAGTCCAGCACAATCTGCCCCTTTCTAGCTATTTCTCTTTGACAAATCAGCAAGTCACTAAAGACAGTTTCCTTATCTATAAAGATGTCTGCACAGATGCTAGTGTCCTAACTGGCACCTACCACTATTTTTGTCAACATTGTAATTCATTCTCCTCCACGCCGACACCAAAGTGAACTATCTAGAATGTAACCTGCTCTGTTCCTCATTTGTTTAAGACTCTTAATATCACTCACTCCTTGTAGGATAAAAGCAGATTCTTTGCTATGACTTACAAGGCCCTCCCTGACCTGCTCCCAGCTCTCTTCCCAGCTTGCTTGGAGGTTCTAGTTTGTGATAGCAGCTCTTCATATGTCTTTGACCAAAAAGTATTTCTCCTCTTTCTGGGAAACTTACTTTCCAGGTAGCCCACAGCTTCCCCAGGGCTATGTAATCATCTTCAAATGAGGAAGTGGGCCCACCACACTAGACAGAGCAGCCAGACCAACCTCCGGGGTCAGATGCTGCCACCAGATCATCCCTGCCTCAGAAATTCACGCCTTCCTTTGGAGTTGTTAGCTCTGCTAGATGAAAGAGAGAGAGGGAGAGGCAGACAGACAGACAGAGACAGAGAGAGAGAGTGCAAGTGTGCACAAGAACATGCTAGAGATTGTAAACGTAACAAATGTTATTGCCACCAGTGTGAAGACTATGTCATGCATGTGCGAAGAGTTCATTATAGTAACTCCCCTGGGCGGGCAGCGTTCCGCACTGCCTTCTGACCCACCAGCAACTGAGATCACAGCGTATGAACACCATCACTGGCCTCATGGAGCACCTGATACTGAAGCACCTGCCCACCCCAGAAGAATGGGTTTCATCATTGATAACTCACATTTCATGGTCTTCACCGCCACTTTCTGAGAGGTCCCATCTTGCTGCTTAAGATTTCCTTCCATTACAGACCCAAACTCTCCTATGAAGTAAAACATCTATATGGGAACCGTGCAAAATCTCCCTGACCACAGAAAGACCCATACTCATAAACCTGGGCCTTGTGCAATGTACTAGTCTCCTGCTTGTCATGAGCTTGAGTAGCTCAGACCTACCTTAGTCATCCCTTTACTAAGCATTATAACAATCCAAGACACTTACAGGAGAAAATGAAATAATATCGTTAAAGTTCATAAAGCACAAACTCTTACTACCATTATCATTCTTAATACCATTATTCTTCATCCTAAGAACAATTTACCGAATTAAATATGTACTGTCATCTTCGTTCCTATTTAACTAATTAGAAAGGTGACAAGAACAATAAACTTGAGAACTAGAGGAATAAATTTTAAGTACATAGGAAACTGATCAATGAATTACACACTTTTCCATGAAGAAAGGGAATTAATAAATTTTGAGGGCACATAAAAGGATCTTTTCATTTGCCAAATCTCAGTTTCAAGAATCACTATTTACTCAATTATTTTATTTAATTAATTAATTAATTAATTAATTTTTTTTTTTTTTTTGAGACAGAGTCTCACTCTCTTGCCTGGGTTAGAGTGCTGTGGCATCAGCCTAGCTCACAGCAACCTCCAACTCCTGGGCTCAAGTGATCCTACTGCCTCAGCCTCCCGGGAAGCTGGGACTACAGGCACGCGCCACCGTGCCCAGCTAATTTTTTCTATTTTCAGTTGTTTGGCTAATTTCTTTCTATTTATAGTAGAGACGGGGGTCTCGCTCTTGCTCAGGCTAGTCTCAAACTCCTGGGCTCAAGCAATCCTCCTGCCTCACCTTCTCAGAGTGCTAGGATTACAGGCATGAGCCACCGCACCCGGCCCATCATTTTAAATTATAAAATATAACTATCTGTATTATAACTCAAGTTATAAAATTGTATTTTATTTAATAAATAATAAACTTCTTACCTTCTTACCCCACATTTTATAAGAATTACTTTAAAGGGTTTACCTTCGCCCAGAATTTTTCCAAGAATTAGAAGATTCCTGTCAATCACAACATCTTCTAGTTTATTTTGCAGTTCCTCGCTGACTCCCAAGCTCCGTACTAGGAAAGGAGTGAGAGTATGTATAAGAGTTGTCAGCATGCTTTCTTTCATTTGAATATAATTAAAATTATATTTAAAGTCCTATGCAATAAACATTCTTTTTTTCATTTTGTACCCATTATTTCTCCCCCAAAAGTGCCAGTAGCAAAACATCACACTTAATTCTACTATGATTAAAGTGAGTATAATGAATCCTTCGGGGCAAAATTAATTCAGAAGAATGATAAGAACCACATTTCTTTTCCCACTGTGTGGGAGGAGCAGCGCCATCAGATTCATGTGGGGGAGGTTTGTCCTTGGGTTAAAGGAGTAAGGAAGATAGGTTAATAGGTATCTTCTAGTGAATTCTGTACTATTATATCCTTAACTATAGTATACAAATGAATGACTAGGATACCTCCTCTGCCCTCTCATGCCAGAGAAGGGATCTCACAAACCACAGGAAACATTTAGAGAACCAGCTATTATTTTACATATGGTTTATGGAACCTCATTATAATGAAGTAGAAAGCGGTAAAGTGAGTACTTCGAGGAACTAGAGAATAAGATCTTCTACAATAAGGTATGCAATACAACAAGGTATATAATAGATATGCAGCACTGACAGGTGTTGGCAACAAGAAGAATTAACCAGGAGAGACCAATTCAATAACTATTTAGCAAATCATTTGATTTGGGCCATAGTAAAAGCATGAGAAAGCCTTTGAAAGAAAAAAAATATGGATAATTAGAAAAGACACATTAGTTCTCAGAGAAAAAAATTTTGCCCCAATGGTCTTCCAATAAAGAAAAGAAATTAGTCTAAATAACAACTTTTTAAATTTAAAAATTTTAAATTAAAAATCCTAACATTAAAAAAAATGAAGGAACAAAGTTAAAAGTCAAAACTTATAGATTAGAAAACTAAAGAAATTAATAATATGCTACATTAAGTGAGTTTTTATTTCATAGCAACCTGTATTCTATCATTCTTATGTCTTTTTCTTAATGATAAACATCCAGAAGCATGAATTTGTTAATAGTTGCACGTATATTCTAAACTTTTTCTGAAATCATTCAAGACCACTATTATCTGCTTAATTCCACTCTTTAAACCAGGAGGTTCGACTCTCTGATTCAGCAAAACTCAAACCACAATTATCAACCAAAGCATGATGGCAAATTGTCCTCTGAGTTAGTTGCCAGGAAAACAGGAAATGAGGCCTGAGATTATGTCAGTTACTTTAAAATTCCTGACCTTTACCCATCTCCTGTCACCCCAGAAGTTTCCTCTTTCCCTCCACATTTCATGACATTAGGAGCCCTTAACCCCAATTACTTAACCCCAGGTCCAGCTCCAGATTCCAGTAAACCAGCCGGCAGAGATGTGCATGGCAATGTCTACCTACTTGCTGGTTTCTAAAGACATTCTAAATATCCATTCTTCGACTCCTTTGGCTTTTGTTGAAATCGTCTGTTCTTTCTTTGTTCTCATCTATTTTAACTTTCGTCAAAGAGGGAAACAAAAGTCAACTTACAGGTAAGTTCGATGGCTCGCCGACAGAAGGACTTCTTTGCTATATAATTTACGACTAATTCAGAATCCTCCTCTGTGAATGCGTTCCTGGGTGAATGAAGACAAGAACATCTCACCATAAAAACAGGGCTACCAAGGCAGGTGCTGATTCCACAAGGATGCTATAAAGCCACCACCTTTTAAAAGGGCTCTTCTACAACAAAAACATTTCCCCCTAGGAGAAACATGTTTCTTTCTTTTGACCTATTTTAGACTTACCTGGCAATATCAAAACAACTCTGCCTAAGTATCATCAAAAACAAGAAATAACTGATAAGCTTCCAATGGCCAAAGCTGCAATAATTTGAGCAAGAAAATAAATAAAGTAATCCTAGATTATGAGTATAAAATGAATGTCAGTGAGTCCATACTGATCAAAATATGATTGAATAAATGAATGAATGGGGGAGAAGAGACAAATCTGTGCAGAGGAATTCCAAATATTTTATGTAGATACTGTGCCTTTAGGGGTAGGGGGAGTTAAATCCTCGCCCTGTAAGTGTGGGCTGTGCACAGTGACTTGCTTCACGGCATGGAAAGGGAGAAAAAATAACTTCACAGTAGAGAAACCTGGCAAACACTACCTCAGACAGGTGATCAAGGTCACCGTCAACATTGATAAATCATAGTATGTACCGTTGACAGGATGTGATGAAAATGGCACTTTACTTCTGCGTTCTTCCTCTCAATAACTCATAAGCCCAGGCTCATTATGAGCAAAACATCAAACAAATTGCAGTAGAGGGACATCCTGCAAAACACTTGACCAGCACTCCTGAAAACTGTCAAGATCATCAAAGACAAGGAAAGTCTGAGAAACTCCACAGCCAAGAGGAGCCTGAGGAGACGTGACAACTAAATGTAATGTGGCATCCCTGATGGGATCGTGGACAGAAAAGGGACGTAGGTAAAATTTAAGGAAATCTGAATAAAGTATAGATAGACCTTAGTTAATGACAATGCATCAATAATGGTTCATTAATTGTCACTAATGAGCCATACTAATGCAAGCTGCTAATAGGAGGGGAAACTAGATGTAGGCTATATCGGAAGTCTCTGTACTATCTTCTCAATGTTTCTATAAATTCAAAACTATTCTAAAAAATAAAGTCTTTCAAAAATCCATTTAGTCACTATTTTAGACTAGTTGGTGGGAAAGTATTATGCATTAGTGAGTCTAAATTATAGACTTAATCTCAATTTACCTTGGGTATATAGATTATTTTTAAAGAGATGACACAATTTTGAAAATAAGATATATCTATGCAAAGCAAAACATTTGGAAGGACATATGCCAAAAGAACAACAAAGACTGAATGAGACCCTGGGGTTACAGATAGGCTTCACTTTCTACTTTTGATTCTTTTGTATAAACTGATTTTTTAAAGCTATAATAATGTTACTTTCATAAGTAGAAAATGAAGGTATTTTCATTTAAAAATGAACTGAAAGATGCTTATATAAAATGAACAAATGAATAGGTCTTGTAGTAAGGACCCACAGGAACTGACTTTAGTTGGGATAAAAGTAACCTGTTATCAGGTTTTCACTTGTTTTCAGCTTTTGCTGAGCTTAATGGTTCCTGGAAATAGTTTTACTCCTAAATATTTCAAGTAGTACTGTGGTCTTGTTAACATATTTGCTGTACTCTGCGGCCCCACTTTTTGGTAAATTCTACAACTTTCAACCTCAAACTTTCCTAGATTTTTACAACCAGGGTTGAATCAAATAATATTTATGATATACTTTGATACAAAATTTATGAGTTAGTGGAGGCCTAGCTGGTAGAAATAGTTTCACATGGAGCATTTTCTTCTGCATTTCTCACCTGCTAGACTATCAGCTACATGTGGGCAGCTCCGTGTTTGTCTTGTTCATCTCTCTTTGTCCAGAGCCTGGTCTGTTTTTTCGAACATTCTTTCCTTTCTCCAGATTTGATCTCGAACTCCTGGCCTCAAGTGATCCTCCCCGCCTCGGCCTCCTAAAGTGCTAGGATTACAGGTGTAAGCCACTGTGCCCCACCCCCGTTCTCCAGATTTGAAATGCAATCTTCATCCTATATTCAGTCTCCACAGGTGCCGTATACATGCGCCTGGTGTTGTCTGGCGACTGAGTTCTCTCTGCTTGCACCAATACCTCACTGTCCTAATCACTCAACATGTTTTTATGTCTAGGAGGACCAGCCCCCTCCACCCAAACTTTTGTGTTTTTTAAAATTGTTTTGGCTATTCCTACACATTTACTCTTCCAGATAAATTTTCAAATCAGCTTGCCAAATTTTATCAATAACTCTGCAGCAATTTTGAGGATGATTATATTGAATTTATGGTTAACTTAGGGAAAACTGATCTCTTGACATCCACGAACATGGTACATTTCTCTCCATTTATTCTTCTTCAACACTGTCAAGAAGTTTATAATTTTTTTCACAAAGCTCTTGCACATCTATTGGGTTTATTCTTAAGAATGTTAGAGTTTTCATGCTATTGTGGATCTCATTCTAGCACTTTGTCTTTAATGTATTTTAAAACCAGAATCAAAATATTTTCATGACATATAACATCCTAAACGAAAAATTAAATCTCTTCCTAAAGGAAAGCAAGAAAGGAGGGAGCCAAGGGGAGACCTCAGAAGAAGCAGAAAGGTACTGAATTTCTGGGGACTGGAAAAAACTGCATTGCTATATGCTGTTCCTAAAACTCTTGGCCAAAGTCTCAAAAGGCAATGGCACATCCCTTTACTGCTGCATTCCACCCTTCCAGCGTTACCTTAGTTGTACATTTTAGGAGCCCTTATCAGACCTGCTGGGAGTTCAGGACCTCCATGGGAGATCTGGTCATCATTTTCTTGGTTCTATCTTTACTGAACCTATATTCTAGGTGGTCTCAAGCAAATGTATCTATGAATCATTCTATAACAATGATTGTTTCAACAATGCTAATGATGAATTCCCACTTAATGACACAAACTGCATTCTGCCACAAATTCTTAAGGGCATCTGCATCTTACGACTCAGCATCTTTTCATAACTGACTGAGTCTAAAAGTCTTAATTCAGAATCGTAGCTAGTAGAACTGGTAGTAACCTTGGAGACCATTCAGAAACAGTACCAGGGAAGCCTGGAACAGTTAAAAGGCTTGTCTAAGTAACAGAATTAACGCTGGATCCCAGTGGGAGAATTTTTAATTTCCTGTCCAGTGTTCTCCCCTCCATATGACGGGCTCTATGCACCACAAGGCCTCTGCTCTTTCTGGCAGGAATCCTCTTCCCTTCTCCCCCACTTAATGGATTTCAGCTCTTTCTTCAGATCTTAGCTCAGGGTCAGCCACCTCTGCAGGGAGGCCTTCCCTGGCTTTCTCAATGCAGTCAAATTCTCCTATTACACTCGCTTACCCCTTTATACAAAATCTACCACTATTGCCATTTTATATTTATTTGTGTGACTGCTTGACTACTGCCTAACTCCCCGTGAACTGTGAGCCCCACGAGGGCAGGGTTTTGTTTGCCATTCTACCCCAGGATGCTACAGTGTCCAGTGCCTAGCAGGCCTTTAATACACATTAATGAGCTATTTTTGCAGCTTTTGCAGAGGTTCTCTATACTTGTTTCATCTTGTACCCACATACCACACCAAGACCCTGGGATGTATTTTAGTCAATGGTATGTTCAAAATTAAGCTCAGATTTTGTCTACTTCTTTAAAATAGTCATTCTTAGACTTCATATACTAAGATATAATAATCACAAGGACAGAGTTGTAGGGATTGAAAGTAACCAACCCCTAAGACTGGGATGAACATAAATAAAGGGCAGCCTGGCCTCCCATCTTAAGCCCCTTCCCATGCCCGTGCAAGTCTTAGAGGGAGTGGAACGTTCTCACGGTATTCTGAAGGTGGAGCCATCAAAGAGGGCTGCTCAGCCCCCTCCAAAACATAGCCATGCCCCCTTCTTTCATTCTGCCTCATGCCAAGCTGTCAACAACTTGCCTCATACAAAATACTTCCTCCTGACCCACAATTGATAAACTGGATTTCACGGAAATCCAAATTCGCTGCAGAGCCCTGGAGTAGAAAACTGAGTTCCAGAAACAACATTTACACACAGCCTTCTTTTCATAGGTTGCTTTAACACAGCGTCTCATTTTTGTTGATATTTGATGAATATTTTGTTACAAAAGTAAGATGTATAGAAAATAAGAAAAAGAGTTTTGTTTCTCATTTGAATGTTAAAATACAGTTTTTCTGTATTAGAAAAATAACTGATCATTATAGAAAATGTGTAAAATACGGCAAAAAAAAAAAAAGGAAACATAGAATTACCCACAATGATACCAGCTAGAGTTGTTAATGTTTTGATAAATTTCTTTCCTGTATTTTTATCTATATATACATTTAAAGAAATAATCAGGGTCATTTTTAAGGCTTCTAATAAAAATCGTCATTTAATAGCAACCCAGTTTGAGTAGCAAAGGCCTCTGATGATCTTCTCTGTATCAGAACCCTTTTCAGGGCTGGCTTTTCCTGTTGGCTGCCTTTGTAGATCAGGAAGCTGGGCATGCACAAGGCAGGCACCCGTCTGGGTGCAACATGGGGGGCAGGGCCAACTGGAAAGTATCAGCACTTGGCATGACAACCTCATCAATACCGTGGGGCAGACATTTTCAACTAGGATACTTACCCAAACTTTGTCTCCTGGACTCTTTTTCTAATGGCCAGGGCGATATATAAAACCAACCCAATCAAAATAAATCCACAAAAGCAGCCAAGGATGATGAGCACAGGATCTGTGTTGCCAGGTGCTGGAGTTGACGAGGGGGCATAATCTACCCAACCTGGTAAAATACCAACGGAATCAATTCAAACATCTCTTTGGGATTCGAAATACATGAGAAACATCGGCTTGGAACAGGGAAGAACACACAGTCAAGAACTTTTAGAATTTAGTTAAATCTTTTATCTTTTATAATTCACAAAGGCAGGCAGTCCTTACTTTGTACAAGCTGAGACCATGTACAGTGATTTTAATAATAAATGGGAAACTAGCTTGCTTTAGTCATTACATAAAGTGTGTATGTGTATGTGTGTGTATATCAAAACATCACATTGTGCTCCATAAATACATACAATTTTCACTGTCAGTTAAAAAATAATAATTTTAAAAATCAATGGGAAAACTATATTGATTATAAACATACTGGAAAATGAAAAAAACAATGAAAAAATGAAAAAATATAAAACTAATATTTACTTGGTGTATTATAATTTAAAACATTAAAAACATTAAGAATTAAAGTGTTATTTCTCTGTAAAACACTTATCAAGAGTAGGTTGAACAGAGTTTGCCTTTTCTAGTCATGTAATTTACGATACAGAGAAAATATATTTTCTATTTTTTAGAGCGGTGGTCCCCAACCTTTTTGGCACCAGGGACTGGTTTCACAGAAGACTATTTTTCCACGGATGAGTGGGTGGGGGGCAGGCAGAGCTCAGGCAGTGATGTGAGCCATGGGGAGAGACTGTAAATACAGATGAAGCTTTGCTCGTTCACCCATTCACCTCCTGCTGTACGTCCGGGTTCCTACGTTTCATAGAAGACAATTTTTCCATAGACTGGGGGTCAGGGGGGCAGGGGTGGAGCTCAGGCAGTGATGTGCAGCCGGTTCCTAACAGACTGAGGACTGTTATAGGGCCACGGCCTGGGGTGTGGGGACTGCAGTTTTGGAAACTGTCACACACCTTTCTAAGTTTGGATCAACTTCCAGTGTTTTATTTTTTGTGCTTTCAGTGTTGTAAAATACCTATGAGAATTCCTTTAGTGTTAAGTTTTTTGCCAGTGTCACTTCCTCTGGGATATTTCCATCCTTTTTTGTCACAGCTTCATTTATGTTAATAACTTCACCTTCACTAAGTACCTCAGCTGCATATCTAAAGTCTGTCAAACATCAGCAGTATGAACATTCCACAGCCCACTTACATTCAAATTTCAGTTCCAACACTATCACTTTTCGTTTCTTTGCTGCACTTTCTTCTTTGTTTTCCCATTCCCTCTTTCAATTTCCCATTTTTGTAAAGTGTCACATGGGTTTGTCACTGGGAGACAGGGAGGCAACACAGCCACGTGCCTCCGTTAGATGCACACTAACCGAATGATGGTTATGCATTGACCAATCGCTAAAAGATTTTGAAAGAAGTGACACCACTGGTCATGATTCACATCTGTTATTTACATGGTGATCCGTGGCCTGAAGAGCTAGCAGCCAAGTTTATGCTTTATGTAATTACAGTAGATATATTAATAAGATGGTAACTAAAATTTGAACCGTATTGTTAGGAAACTGATGTTATTTAACTGTGGTAACTGAAATTTATGCATATTGGAGCTGTGCAAGGCAAGGACTGCCTGTATAGCAAAGCTTTAAAAAATTCTAGAATTTATCTAAAGATGATGAAAGAAGATGAAAACTCTATAGTCTCAAACTCTGATTTTTTAAACTGGTCCCTTTAGAATCAGAATCTCATTGTCTTTGAATTTCCACGAGGTAGACACATCTTGTCTCCCCATCACCAGTGACTAATGTTCCCCAGGTACCGAGCCTGGGGGCTGCAGGAATACCATACAGTTGCATTTCAGCACTAAAAGGGAGAACATGTTTGAGGATCACTGGGAACAGACAGATGAGAACTCAATCGTCTGCTCACAAGTCCCGTCTACTACTGGGTACAAAGACCATATCTGGTATGAACTTGTAAACGTACAAGTCACATTGATATAGATGCCTGTGTGCGGATTTTACGACAGCAGTTTAACATCAAATAACAATAACCTAGGGCAGATCAGAGTCAGAACACAGGTGGCTCCACTGGGCTACAGAATCAAGCACAGCATTTGAACCACTTGGGGCACCACAGTGGCACTGTGCCAAGGGACACTCCAGCAGCATGCAAAGGCCAGCACGCGTGGCTGGGCATTTAGTTCAGTCAGCCCAGCGCTGTCAGAGGATGGCTTCTGTAGGACATTTCATGTTCTGCACAGACCAAATCACAAAGCACACTATGCAAGGCTTGAATGGGTAGAAACATGGCAAGCAGTACTGCTTAAAACTTAGCAAAACAAGCACGAGCAAATAAACAAAGAGTGTCAATCACAGAGAGCTAAGCCACACTGCTTGTCCAAAATTCAGATATGTACAGCACATGTCATTTCAACTAAATTCAATAAGTAAAGTCAAAGCTGGTATTCCGAAAGGACTAATCTTCCTAGTACATTATTGTCATTAATAGTAATAGTAGTAGCAGGACCCATGGGTATCGGTAGTTCTGTGAAGTGTGTTACTGTATCTTTATCACCACAAAAATTCCTTTTGGTCCCTATTTTTCATTCTTTAATCAGCCGTCCACCCCACAGGTTACCCTCTGGCAACCTGTGCACTGCCGGGACTGCCACGTTCCACCAGCCAGCGAGGGCCCCAGCTCTCACCGCGTGTGGGGATAAATATCTGCACTGGGTCACTGAAGGGCCCGACTCCCCCTTTGGTGACGGCAGCAATCCTCACTGTGCACGTGGCGTTGTGGACTTGAACAGAAATCCGAGCACGGCTGCCATTGTGGCCGACTTCCTCAAACAGCTCTTTCTGGGGACAGAGAGGAAAAGAGGAAATGAAACGCGAGGCGCCAGGGGCACACTGCTCGCCTACAGTTCCTTCTGAGGAAAGCCGTCCCACCCACGTCTGGGGGCCCTGTCACCACAGCGTTCCTGCCTCACTCGGGACACACAATGGAACCAAAAGGCAAGTGGGGACTAATAGCAACCTCAGGCCTTGGGGGCAACCAGGGCCATGAGAGCACGGCACTTAGAGTGGTCGCAAAGAAGCTTCTAGAAGAGAGGGAGCATGTAGCAGATGCATCCTCAAGACCCCATGCTCAGAACCACCCACAGCACAAGGCCCCAGAGTCACACTGTCCCTTGACGTTGCCCACCTGCCAACCACCCTTGATCTAGCACAGTGGGCTCCTGTTCCTTGAAATTATAAGAATGTTGGCTAAAATCTACAAGGAGGAGGCCATTGATACTATTTTTTTCTTTCAGTGTGACAAATGTGCAATTTGCTCACTTTTTAAAACTCTGGTTTTACTTTAATTTATGATGTTTTAAAGCCACTGCCGTGCAACAGGGAGCCATTAAAACACAGGGAAAAACAACCAGAACTAAGTGTTTATACAACACTTCCCCTGTGTTTCCAAACCTCGATAATCACAGTGTTCTCTGGTGTAGGGAAAAATTGTGTATGGAGGCTGGCTTTTCGAATGAAAATTTTAGGAGTCGTGAAAGCTGAAATGAAACTCTAGGAACACATCTTTATCTCTGAGTTTTAGAAATTTCATTTCAGAGAGAGAAATATATCAGGTCATATGAGGCACATATATCCCAGATCATCAACGAACAGCAAAAGCACATTTCTGTTGGTAACTTTATTCCCTGGTCACTTGGTCTCAAGCCAGTCACTTCTAGCAATGGCGCAAGATGGCCCCAACTCAGCCCATAAGGAGAGCATGGTCCCACCATTCACTACCAAGGGGGCACTGGGTCCAGAGACTGTTCTTTCTACATCTAAACAGGCAGGGACCACCAGGACCAGAAACATCCCCTGTGTAGAAAAAACAAACTGCTTTTGCTCTGCTCTCACATCACAACAATCAACAAAGAAGACTTCTGTGACTTCTGGTCACCAAGAAGTAGGTGGCAATTTTTCCCTACCAGCAACCAATCAATCAACTCTGTAGAAGACACCAGCTGGGCATCCTCCAACCCAGTTCAATTCTGACACTGCCTGCCTGAGATGGCGTCAGATCCCACAGGTTGAGGGCTCAGTCCCACAAGACTGGCCCTGCTTTTAGTGCCAATCCCAAGCCTCAGGCTGTTTATCTGTGTTTCTGACCAACTGGCTATAAATTGGGGTTCCCACAACCCCCTCCTTAGATTCATTTAATTTGCTAGAGTGGCTCACAGAACTCAGGAAACATGTTTACTGATTTATTATCAAAAATATTCCAAAGGATATGGACAAAGAGACGCACAGAGCAACCCAGTTTTGACTATGGGTTAGTTGGTCATTCTGTATTTAATTCGAGAAGGGGGCAGAAAACCATGTGGGAAGGGATGCAGAGCCGACGCCCTCCCCGGGCACATCACCCTCCAGGGACGTCCATGTGTTCAGCTATCTGGAAGCTCTCCAAACCCCATCTTCTTAGGCCTTTATGGAGACTTCATTGGATAGGCATGATTGACCACTGCGTAGAAATGTGATCAGACAAAAGGGGTATGATCTCATACTAACAGACCGAATGGGGAAACCAGCAAGGCTTGTCTGTTCAGATGCTTCTTGGCCTCTCTGTGCAGTGTTCCTTCCTCCCAGGTATGGGGCAAGACTCCTGAATGGAGGTCTTATGACCTACAGTCAATCAGATAAGGTCAGTCCAGAATTTCTTTATTGTCAGTTCCAAGACAAAAAGGTGAGGGAAGATTCCTGCCTTGGGGAAAGAAAGAAGCAAATGAAAGGAGGGCAGGAGAAAGTCAGAGAGAGAGATTCTGTTTTCTGGGGCCTGCTTCGGAGACCTAAAGTGCCCCAACATTACAACAAAACTGTCTTTCACTTTTAAAGCTCTAAAACTGTTTCATGAACCAACGACTATTTTATACATTTATCTGCTCACTGAACTCTTTTTTCATAGAAGATCCACTGACACTTTACGGGAATAGGGATGGAGTGGGAAATAGTAGCCCACACTTATCAAAAGACTGTCCCAGTCACAAAGAGAAAGTCTCTAGCTGCTTTATCAGCAGTCCCTAATCTTTTTGGCATCAGGGACCGTTTTCATGGAAGACAATTTTTCCACGGATCAGGTTGGGGGTGGGGGTATGGTTTCAGGATGATTCAAGCACATTGCATTTATTATGTACTTTATTTCCATTATTAATATATAATGAAATAATTATACAGCTCACCACAGGTTGGGGACCCCTGGTTTAGATGGTGTAGCTGGGTCCACACATCAAGTCCCTAGTGCTATAAATGCCTACAAAGCACGTCCCATGCCCTGTGTTCAGACAGTATAAAGTGGAACAAGACACAGCTCCAATTTCAAGGAGAACAGATTGTACTTGCTCCTTATCTTTGGATTTTAAGCTCTGATTTGGAAGCCAAGGGATATTAAGAAAATAGAGCAAAAAAAAGTAGATATCTTTATTAAGA